CTGACCAGCAGAGATCCATTAGTGCACCATTAAATTGAGGTATGGACAGAGAAGCAACCACAGTGTTTCTTGGAACCCAGATGGTTAAAAGCTCTTCTGCAAGGTCGCTCTCCTTACCAACCTGACCTGCGCTGGGCCATCTGTTTAGCCAGCTAAATTGTACAAGGTCTGGCCAAACCCTACTTAAGCTCTGCCTTATGGTCTTGGAGCAGAGTTGCTTCTTCAGAGATGGAAAATCAGCAATTTTTTTTAAAACAAACCAGTGACCTGACATTTTTGAACTGACATTGTCCTGCAACACCAAAATATGGTGGTGTTCTTCCAAAGGATAAATATAAAGTGACAGGTTTTGACACAAGCAGAATGTCGTTTGGCTCTTGTCTGCATTGCTGCCAAAATTCATCAGACTATCTCTGCAGCGTACCACCACTCCATGTTGGTCTATTTTCAAAGTGGAGATGTGCCATGGCTAAGCAGATTAGATTTAAAAAGGAAAAAAAAGCAGCACAACCCAAAACTTCCTTGTGAAAATCATTTACTTTCAAGAGCGTTATTTCTTGCCTTCTTCAACAGCTACAATAACCGATGTCTGTACCAAAAAGGGAACTTACTTACCCATCAACTTCCTTCTACAAATTCTCCCAGACAGCTTCCTATTTTAACATTAGCATCACTCTTTCTTAGTTATAAATCTCCAACAGACACATGGGAAATTCCCGGAGCAAAGCATGAGATAAGTGGAGACATTAAGAGAAGTGGACAGTCTGAATGATCGGAAAGATCAGACAGAGAGATGGTAGATATGTGACTGATTGTTTTCTTGAAGAAAATGTGAGAAAGGAGGAACTGGGTTGTAAATGGGGAAGCATGACTGACCCCAATTCTGCCTGTGAATCTTCAATGCTCGAACAAATAAAGGGGGGTTGAGGGGAGAAATCCAGACGTTAACCTACAATGACAGGGGCTGCTGCTCCAACAACACCCCCTACCACTGAACCAGGCTTCACTTTTTACTGCCCTGCACTTAAATTCACCTCAAATCTTCATTGACTATTTGAGAAAACTTCTCTAAATATTGTCTGAAAGTCTGCTATRCTGTAAAGAAATTATACTTAAGAAAACGCAAACTTTAAAGCATTTAGGCACACCAAAATAAGTGCTATAATTTGGCCGCATTAATGCTCTGCTCTACATTTCTCAATGCAACCCACCCATGCTTGTGAAAAAACAGACGCCTGCACATGAAGAATTTAAAGAACGTGGTCTTATGAGGCTGTTTTATTAAGAAAAGGAGCCCAGCCTAGTGTGTGTGTGTGTGTGTGTGTGTGTGTGTGTGTGTGTGTGTGTGTGTGTGTGTGCGCGCGCGCGCATGTTATGCTGATGGTAAGCTGGGAGAGGATGAACTATCTGAGGCTCAAACTAGACTGTAGTCAGACCCCTGGGGCAGAGGCCGCCCAACTAAACCCAGTCTGGCGGGGGGGTGGGGGGGGCAAATAAACATGCCCCCCTGCCGGCTCACTTCAAACCACAGCAGGGACACTTCATCACCGTTTATATGAGCAGGAAACTGCCTCGCAGATCACATACTTATCCCACAAACTCTCACTCCAAGATGCACCATACACCAACTTAAATAATAAACAAAGACTATCCCATTGAAACAGTTGTGAACTGTTCAAGCAGAATAAAGACAACACACAGAAAAACACTTCTAGGCATCAAGACAAAGAGCAGCTGCAAGCAAACTATCAGCTCTCTCTGGGAAGAGGATTTAAAGCACTAAGCTCACCGTTTTGGCAGGAGACCCTGAGATGGTGTGCTAAGTGGGTTAAAGCACACCCCAAGCCTCATAATCGCTTCGGCCTCCCCCTCCTCCTTAGTCCATATCMCTCTGTCTGCCAAAACCAGCCGAGGGGAGCAATTTCAAGTTTCACAAAATACTTGGGAGATGCTGAAGTAGAGGGAGTTGTAGATTAAATAGAGAAGACAGAGATTGTAACATGTAGCTTCATTTGGGTTAAAACGTGGATTAGTGTGGAAGACAATGGCTGCGTCTTTGTTTCTTTTTTTTATGAGGGTCTGCTGTTCTTCCTGTCAAACATTACTCCTTCATTTATTTCACTGATTTTTTTTTTTACCTGGATCATACTAGAATTAACATTTGTGCAACCATTATTCAGTTACTGCAAAGAGAAAAAAAATAAGAAAATTATCCACAATGATCTTGTATTCCACTTGCAGGAACACATGCACCCCCACTTCTCACATGCCGTCACCAGCCAGACTCCGTGGTAACCCAAGTCTTTGGTGAAACTGTAGTAATGTGGCTCAGTGGACCTAACATGGTTCCAAGCTACAAAGACCAGACACAAATTGCCTGGAGGACTTTGCAAACAGAATACAGGTCAGGCCGATTTGAAACACAGAAGTGTAAAAAAGCACTGTATAAACTTACTCTGTGAAAAAAAGAGAAACAAAGTGTACAGGCAAGCAGAAAATTAGAGGGAAAAATCAAACAGCTGCAGAGATTTAAAAAAATAAAGTTGGCTCTATACACCTATAGGGACAAATTAAAATGACCAAGTACCAACATGCAAGTTATCAAACTCGAGAAAATCAACACGTGCACAGGGGGAACATGCAAAGTTCATGCAGAGAGTCCCCATGTGAAGTGACCTTGTATTTAAAAACAGCTAAAAAGCTGTTGCACACATACATCAATACACATACTTCAGCATGGAAGAGTCAGGTGGTGAGTTCAGGTGAGCAGTCTATTCAAAGGGTATTATAAAGAGGGGCTTGTTCTTACTGAAATAGGATTACAGGAGAAAGGTGTGGTTCCTTGTAACACACAGCAGCAGCTGTGTGTTTCTGAGCAGCATGTATGAACACCCTGTCAAGTTAAATGAAGACAGAATGTGTCTGACGGTCTGTTGGGCTTGTTCCTGCAGATGCATTCATCTGTGTTGATCTCAGGGCATGCAAAGTGAAGGACTGTGGGTATTCATTAATAAACAACATTGTGTGCAGCCCTCAAAAATGCAAACACCGATGAACTTTCTGGGACTGCAAAATACTTAGGTTAATAGCGGATTGGTTTAAATTGTAGCTTTGCCCAAAAGGGACAACAAACATTTTTAACCTCCAAAAAGAGGATAAAGYATCAAAAACAATAAACAGCACAAATAAACAGAAAATCTCAATTAAGATTCACTTCACCACAGCACAGCGCTAAGTAACATAAAARGCATTAAAACAAGGAAAAGTAGCTTTTTGAAATTGTCATTCTGAGACCGACGTGGCAGCATCAAGCATATGTGAACATACATAAAATAAACACTACAGCAAAGAGGAAACAGAAGCATGAAAACTATCTCATCTTTAAAGTACAAGCATCAATCTCAGTATCACTTACTTTTTTCACTAACTAAACCCACCCCAGATTCTGCTGCTGAAGTAGCAGAGACAAATTATGAATGATGAGTACTGMAATGTGAAACTAAACATCATGCACGCCGACAGAAGTCTCAGCCCCTCGAAACTATTTGAGGTATGACAGCAGCATCTCTGAAGTGGAACTTGGCCAGTAATAACAGCTGAGAGGAAGKTGTGTGTTTTAAGTAGTCTAACATGAAACCGAAAAAAAGGGGTAGGTGGGGGTGGGGGTCCTTAACCAGGGCTGTTTATAACTTTGTGTTTAAAATCTGGTTTCAGGTAATGGAGAAGATATGTTGTGATTACTTGTGGGACAACTCTTTTTTTGTCTTACCATCACAAATATTCAAACTAGTGCAAAGTGCAGACACAACAAGAGGCATCCATTCAGTATTCATTTTTCCTTTCTCTCKGTTTGGCTTAAACCACAATGTCAGTCCAGGGTGTGGTTCCACAGCCACACGTGCACTTGGTCTTGCACACTGAGCTGCCCATGTGTTCACAAGAGCATATTTGTTTTCAAGTCACATGCAGTCACGGCAASGAGAAAAAGATTTGACTAATGGGGAAAAAATATAGAACAGAAAAGCAGGACAAAAGGTAAAGGGGAGGAAACAGAAGGGTTTAAAGGATTTTAGCCAGTTMGAGAAATATCCATACTTTTTTGCCTGCAAAAATCAATGTTTATCTTTGTCACAGAGAAAAGCATTGTACTAATATTCTCAGAATTCTGAATTGTTGCTTTATAAATTAAGTAAAACTGTTTAGTTACTTCCCTTGKGGCTGCCATTACTCCAGACAAACTCAGACATGGAGAATCACTAGAAAACCACAGCACAGTGCGTTTGATTTCACATACATCTGGAGTAGTTACAGAAATATGCTTAATGGATGTAGCCATGTRTGTGTTAAGGTGTTCTGAGAGCAGCAGAGTTCATGTCTGGGAGAAGGGACGGAGCTGAGAGGTTGGCTGAGTGCAAGTCTGGGACAGAGGAGGAGAAAGGCCACGAGGGTGTTTGCCTTTAGAACAACMAAGTGGGTCAAGCCAGGTTCAGGGACAGGGGATAACTGTGACCTTCAGGGCACATTCGGTAACTAGGTGGTTGATGCACACAGACAAAATATTTGCCGTCTCCTAATTTCTCTTGTATTTTGAAGTCTTTTGCGTTTCTTCTCTGATTCAAACTCATTACAGCCAGAGGAGATCCGCTCCAAAACATGCCCCTCTCCAGAGAGAACCACACGAGAGGCGCTGCATTTCCTTCACAGATTCACACACAGAGCACCACCCCCCCTCCTTCCCATCTATCTCCAAGGCTCTCACCCCGTCCTAAAGAGTGTTGTATCACATTGACACTTTTTTGATAGCTACACACTTTGTTTCATTCGCCTCCTTTCGGTCATCATTATTTTTTCACAGAAAGACACTCTGGCTGACAAACTGAACTAGACTGTTATTTAATCAGAGCTCAGCTGCAGAGGTCAAGGAGGAAAAAAAAGCAGGATGAATTCAAGGAGGTGAAAGAGTAGAGTACAGAACATGGGCAGGCTTTCTTCTTGTAACAAACCTCTCTTTCAGCCTCTCCCTCCAGCCATTTTTCTCTCTGAGTTATCAGCTCATCCGTCTCCTCCTCTCCCACGATGATAACAGCCTCTAAGTTCTGTGAAGTAACACACAAACTTGTGTCATTTCCTTCTCCCCTCTATGGCTCTCTGGCCAACTCCTACAGATGGTTAATAAGCCATGATGCATAAACTCTGGACACTGGACATATGCAGCGATGCACTAAAGGTTCACAGAGAAACAGCTGCTTCATTTATTGAGCTACGATAAACAGTTGCCTTTTAATAACTGATGGTTTTCACATTTGCTCTTGGAACAATAAATCTATCCGCAGAAAAATTGTTTCACTTCAAGCAGTGCAAAGTTTACAACATAAAGCAAATAAAGCATTACAGCGCAAGTCTTTGAGAGGATGGCATCAGCAGAACTAATCACAGCACTTTAGCATTGTAGCAAAAAAATAAAAAAAATCGCTAACAATTTTTCACATATTGTAACTTGGGAACCTTCTCAGCAAAAGCTTAAGATAATAAAAATCTAATAAATAAATAAATTAAAAAACATGTAAAGATCCATGCAACTGGATGAACCCCCTTTTTAAAACAAATGTAGGTTTTCTAACACTTCTAAAATTAATTTGTGACTCTGGAGCAATGTTTTTGGATTTATTGTGTCAAAAACAAATTGCGAGTTGTTGAGAGAGCATAAAACTTTCTCATTTGTGCTTCACCACGCAGTGACAAAACTGAGTATTTGCCCACACCTGCCCATGAAATAGCCTTTGATTCAAYTGTCCAATTACTTTTGGAGGAAGGAGCTTTTAAGGAGCTGAACTCTTAAACCCTTCATTCAATTTTAATGTGGATTCCATCAAATGAACGCTGGAATGTTAATGTCCATCAAATAACTATAACTTCAAGATGTTTCAGTAAACGGGTCAAAAAATAAACAGTGTCATTATCCAACGAGATATGAACTTCACTGTAAATACCTGCATGGGTAAATAAACCCCCTTTTTGTTTTCGAAAATGGAGAAAATGAAACATTTTCTGAGAAAAGAAAAGAAAGATGAACACAACCTTCAAAGAAAACATCCTTCGATGACAGAGAAGAAAAGTGGAAACATGCAAAAGTGTCTTTCTACACATTTCCTGTTGGGAGTCCCCCCCC